TTTGTTTATTTTTGCTTTTGTTTCCTTTGCATATCTCTCAATGAGGATTTCAAGCTTTATAAGTATTGGTTGTAAGTGAAAGATGGATTTCATTTATTTTCTTCAAAACAATCTATTTCTGTCAATAACGGTGCTGACCCATAAATCTGGTAGAAAGAACTTCCTTGTCCTTCAGTGCCTTCGCCGTCACTTTTTGTCTGTTGCTTGAAAACACTGACTTTCATTCCTTTTATCTCCATTTTATCTTCAGAAAGCCTTATGGGATTTGTTGTTTGTCATGTTTCAATTATCAGAGTTTTAGCTGTGAACTAAGAAGAACTTTCCTATAAATAGTCTGACCCTCACCAACCCGCCTGACTCAGGAGCTCCAAAACAGGGTGCGCGTTAGTATCTAAATGCCATTTCCTCCCAGTGTCGGGAGAGAGTTTGTTTTTTTTCTATTTCTTATTAAGCAGCTGATGTTGAAAGAAAATCATTCATAGGAAGTTACTGGAATTTCTGTCTACTTAGTTTACTGTATATAAAGTACCTCCTTGCTTATTTAGTTTGCTTCTGGCTGACATTAAAATAAGGTCACTTTGATTTATGCCGTAAAACAGTTGTGTCAGAATTTTTAGATTTGCTTCTTTTTTTCCGCCTTCATTATCCTCAGATAGCACTTCCTGAAGGTGACTTTGCTGATTTGAAAGTGTGAAGTTGGAGGATTAAAATGAATTCATCTTTCCAGAAAAACGTGCTATATTAGTGATGACAGGACATTTTAATATCTTAGTTCGCTCCTCACCAAAGTGTGAACACTTAATTCCATTTCCTCTTTGATAAACAGCTGTGTCTTGTAGGGTTTGTATAGATTTTTACCTTCAGATCTATTTTGCATCCGAAACTAGCATTTACCCAACCAACCCTGCTCTTTATTTTTATAATTTGGTTAAGGGTTAAGAGCCAGGTTCCTTAGACATGCACAGGTAAGAGCATAAACATGACAGGTGATGCTCAGCACCGCGGGCTCCCGCCACCCGGTCTGCCCAGTCGTCCCTCTTTCTCCAGGTTGCACTCTTCCTGTTCTCCATCCCATCTGCATCTCCATGGTTTATGTCCATCTTTATACACCCCTTTTCCAGATGAGGAAACTTCCCAGGGGAGTTAAGAAACCTCTTCAGTCACACTATTTGTAGTGGGAAAGCCACATTTTGAATTCAAGCAGACTTACTCCAGAGCTCAAATTCTGACTCCAGCATTACTAACGGTGACCACATGCAACTTACTGAAATTCCCTTGCCTTAGGCTCTTCTTCTGTCAACTCAAAGTGTAATAATAATACCCACCTTGTGGAGCTGAGAGAGCTAAGTCAGCTAACACTTGCATGTAACTCATAACAGTAGAAATAACTACAGAGATGAAAGTGATGAAAATGATGATGCTGGTGATGACAATGAAGATGAAGATCGTTGATTTTTAATACGATTGCTTCACTGACTATGTAGGACAGATCACGTCTGAGAGAAGGCAGTCTCAGTCTATGAAAAAAAAAATGTTTCCTTTTCCCAGTGGAGTCAGATTTCAACTAAAAATGCAGCAGGGGTCTCTTGCTTTGTGCCTCTAAACTATCTGGGCTCAAAGAATTGTAAAAAAAGGTCTGGGGGAAAACTTAGATTTGGAGTCTTTGCTCCACGATGCAGAACATCTACCCAGAACTGATGTTACGTGTTTGGTATTCAGCATCCGTTGTCCTGGGGCGTGTAACACAGCCGGGCACAGCACATGCCCTTAGTCCTTCCACAGCAGCTGCGGGAACCGAGAGATAATTGAAATTTAGACACACATATGTGAGCACATCCGTTATGGGAGAAAAGGAAATGACCTTAAGTCAGACTGAAACTTCTCTCACAATACAGCTGCAGGGCCGGCCGTATACTTTAGGAACAATGGGAATTTTGAATTACAGAGTTGGCATCCTCTCTGTAGCATGAATGGATGTTTGAACAGAGTTAGAGAAATCATCCTGACAGCCTGCAAGTAAGATGACTGTCATTGTCTCCTGCCCTCCTCCTTCAAGACAGCTCAGACAAGCAGACCCATCCTTCTGGACCTCATTACAGTGTCAGAGGAGAACTCTTTTGTAGCAGGGAATTTCAAAGTAGTGTAACTGCTATACTTTGTGAAATAGAAATCACTAAAATAGTGGGACTATTACTAGAGGTAATTCTCCCTCCAAATCTTACCTTAGAATGATAGCCACATCGTTTTCTGGAAAGAATGCTGACACACATTTCTTGGGAGGTATGAGAATGAGCCCTGTGCTGCATGGTCTGAGATTTGGTGAGCGCTGCTTTAAATCATTAAATTAGAAAGTATATTAAATAGCAAATGGACAACTGACCAGAAGAAATTTAAACAATTATGAGATTTATCCATTTATCATTTTGATGTATATATTATCTCCCTAATATTTAAGTTGTCCCAAGGAAAGATTCAAATAAGGGCCAAGGATTTCTCAATAATTTTGCTTTTCCGAGAAATATTTTAATCAGGTGTCTGAATATATACACAGATATATATTCAAATATAAACTATGCATTTGATACACATATAAAATATGCATATACACATGTATACATATGTATATAGTTATCTTTACCTTTTAGGCTTTAAATTAACTATTTTTCCATTTCTAAAAATCATTCCTAAGAAAATAAGTCAAATATTTATGTTCACAGTTACAGAATTAGGTATAACAGTAGAATTTTGAAATACCTAAGATAGACCAAAATAATCATTTCGTCAGCCTCCCACATTAGCTTGGGCTATCTCTGATATAAAAAAAAAAATACATTCTTCGTAAATGACTAGGGGTTCCTGAAGAAGCACATGTTGGTTGAGTAGCGATGAGGATAAGGACTATGGCCTTAGAATAGCAGCAGGCTTTTATGGAGGACTAGTGTCTGATGATTCTCCTGGTCACTCACGTCTGACACAGTGCCTTAGTCTTCACTATAACAACATGTGTAAATCACTTAGTAAGTAGATTTCTGAGGAGCATGTAGCAAAGTGTCCAGACATGACTTTTGACTCCTTAGACCTACTGAGAAATTTGGAAAGCTATGTTCTTTTACATGTTTATGACGATTAGTGGATTAAACCTTGTTATCTATATAGAAATATCTCTTTCAGTCCTGTTTAATGCTTTTTACCACGAATACAATTTTATCTTCTGTTAATGTTTCTTCACCTCCTTCCTTCTTGCTATAATTAATCTGGTTTATCTTTTAAAATCCACTGTTATCAACCTTTCTGTGTGATTTGGTTTTAGATACATCTGTTATAAGCAGGCAGTTTGTTTCACATTATGCAAGTCTCTCTTTTAAGCAAGAGTTTTTATCCATTTCAATTTATTGTAATACCCTGTGTTTGGAATCATCATTTATAAGTCTTTCCCCTTTCTTCTTTTTATTGTTTTCACCCATTCTCTTTTCTTTTTTTTTCTTCTTAGTGTCAAGCATCTTATTTCTAGCCCCAGAGGAGTTCCACTTAGATCTTCAGCAAACTGATCAATGTATTGATTTGTCAGTATCCGTACCCTTCCCCGGTTAAGATAAGAACATTAGTATGTTTCTGCCTCCTTCATCACGCCCCATTCCTGCTTCACCCCACACTGAGGTCACTTCAGTGGTAGTACTTTTTTTTACATTGTACATCAGTTACTTACAGGTATGTATGTCTAACCGATTACCACTGTTTTTCGTAGTCAGCTTTCTTTTTCTCTGCTCTTTTGCCAGGGTACAAACCCGTGCCTCTTTCAAGAAAAAAAAGGCTAGTTTAGCTAGGCATAAAATTACAGTTTTAAGAACAGTTTCAATGCGAGTTTTTAAGATATTACTCCATTATATTCAGGGCTCTTGAAGAAAGAAATCCTGTCAGACGGATTCTCTTCCTTTGTGAGTCACCTGTCTGTCCTCCCTGGAAGCCGGGAGGAGGTCATATTTACCCTTGCCTTCTGAAATCACAGCACAGTGCACAATCTGAACTTCCCCAGTCTTCATGGCACTTAGAGTGTCCCTTCCACCTCAAGACTGGGGACTCCTAAGCTGTGGAGTAAGTTCTTTCCTTTTCTCATCCACTACCTTCTTTTACATAATTCCATAAAACAGATGTTGGAACTTGTAAAATTATTCCCAAATCTCTTCCCTTTTTCTTATACTTTTAAATCTCATTGTTCACTAATGTTATATTCAGGGAGATTTTCTTCCCTTCCACCTTCCAGCTCATTAATGCACTATTTCTCTTATACCTCAGATTTAAGATATAAGATGGAAGATGTAATGTTCAGCCAACCTACATGTTTTGTTTAATACTCAGGATTTAGATTTCTAAGCTGTCTGTCTAATCAATGTATTATTGCTGAGCACATGTAATACTCTAGTTTGCATAAGGATATGAATTATACTCATTTAATAGAGCCTTTTGTTTGCCCTTTTATACGTGGCTCCTAGGGTATTCTCCTAATTGCTGGGTTTTGTCTTTCTCTTTTGATGGTATTGACTTAGCAACTGTTCGATTATCCTTGGCTGTCTGCTCATGTTCGTGTTCGCAGATGTCTGTTTGCATCCCTAAGGATGTAGGTTCTGATTATGAGCTCCGGCTTAGGGGAAGCAGACTCAGGCGTGCTACCAGTCAGTGTGCCAGGGCCTCACCTTCCAGGTAGCACTAGCTACCTGGGTCCTGTCCATCCCCGGTGTTGCATCCACTTTTGTATCCTGGGGGCAGACATGCTTCTGTTGAGCCTCTTAGTCACCATGTAAATGGTGTCCCAGTTCATCAGTGTGAGCAGTGCCCTGCAAAGTCAGCAAGCCCCAGCGCCGCCCTCACCTCTCCAGCAGGTAGCTCTGGGGATGTGACGCATCCAGCCTGGTTTCTCTGCCAGTCTGACTGCTCCGATTGCTTGTGCTTTATTTTACAACACTCAGAAATTTCTTAAATTGACTTTTCTGCTGCTGGTAGTCTTTTTTTTTTGGTGATTTTTATGAGATGGTTAAAAAATATTGTTTCCTAAAATGTACTGAGCACCAAAATACGGGTTTGGAGTAAAAAGAGATGGTAGACAAATGTGACAGAGTTCCCATAAATAAGCCGTTTCCTACCCACTCCTGACACACTTCACCAGTTTACTCTGAAGGGCATAAATTCTGAATTTTTAAACCTTAATCACTTATTATTCTTATCTGTCCACTTACTCTCCATTTAATACACACTCCTCTGTGTGTTCTGCTCTTAGATACTTGATCAGATTTCATTTAGAATCCATAAGGAGCCCACAGGATGGGTTACAAAATAATACTGTGTATATTACCCCTAAAGCAGCAGCATCAGGAAGTGACAAATACTGCGTTTAAGATTAAACGACTCTGTTGCATTCATTCACCTCCGTCCCAGTGTCGTCTTGCTCACCGCTTTCTTGCCGTTGACAAGGATTTTAAACACGAGAGTGTTAGTTGCTGATTGTTACTCAGAGTTTAGCTGGTTTTTCTGACGGCTCTTTCTCTTAGTTTAGATTTCAGAACATGAACTGTTTCATATCCATCATACTTTCGAAAAATTGCCATGTAAAAATATTTACTTCTGTAAGTAACTTTATGTAACTTCTTTGTACCTGAATCATAGAACTTTCCAGGACTGATCCCGTCCTTTCAGAGATGGGAGTCGTCATAAACTTAGTTCTGTGGACGTTCTAAGTCTGACATTGAACTGTTGTGAAAGAAGTCAGGGTGGAAAATGCAGGATTAGGCATTTGCCTGTAAACTGTTTCAGTCAAACAATAATGACCATAAATATTCTTAAACATGAGAACTAGAAACTGCAATTCACATGAAACAAACACATTCACGGGCCAGGGCAGTTCATGGAAAGCAAAAGAAGAAAGAAAAGAAGCAGTACCTGGACTTCCCAACAGAGACTCATCCATCCTCCAAAGATGATTTTCAGTGTAATTTGTAATGAGACGTAAGTGACCTCTGTTCATTTAGTCAAGAAATATTTAAAATTAAGTACTTAGGAACGAAGTGCTTCAGACACTTGATCTCACTGGGAACTGAAAGAGAAAATCCTTTGTTGTGGAAGAACTTACCTGCAGGCACGATAATAATGACTGGGTCTTAAGTGCAGTCGTGCGCGTCTGTGTCAGGTACCACAGAGATGAACGGATAGATTGCTATCACATTTAATTCTCACATAAATATTATAATTCTCATGTAAATATTATTCATCTCAAAAGGACAGCCAACATTAAGACTCAGAGTCTGAGTAACTTGCCTAAGGCCAGGCAGCTGAAATGCTGAAACCAAGTCTGTCTGACTCCAGAACTGTTTTTGCCACGCAACAGCACCGCGTCCTCATTCAGCTCTGCTACTTACAACAGACGTGCAAGTCACTTAGCTTTTCATGACTCTGTTTTCTCACAGGTACGTACAGACATTGGTTTGGATGGTTTCTTAGGTCCATCTGAGCTTTCTGGTTTTAGACACTTGACATGTTTGCTGCTGTTTTACCAACACACAGCAGATGGCAGTACAGATCAAAGACCGGCCGGCGGATCCAGTTCCTTCTTGAATAATGAAAATAATGTTCATTTTCTTTGAATAAAATGTTACTAAAGAAGAGCTATTATGAAGGATGTGATATGGACCGAAAACTGAGCTAAATTTGCAATGCTACCAAACATGAACAACCTTAGTTCAGATTGTCATCATCAAGCATTTTCATTTTGTGTGTGTTTGGGTTTTCTGATACTTTCAGTCCAACAGTTGAGGAAACAAAAAGTAAAGTTACAGGGAATTTTCGTTTTGTTAAATTCCTGCTAATGCTTAAATCAGTGTTTGCATCTCTTCCTAAAGGAATGGTACATCCCTGTAGTCTGTGTATACTATTGGATAGTATGACTTACACTTACTGATTTTCCATAGTTATTTACATGGAGCTGTTCTATGAACTGATCTAATCCATACAGAATAGGGATTCCTTTCAATGTGGAAGAAATACACACTCTTCAAAGACAGACCAGTGGCTTACTTTGCCATCCTGATAAGGCTTTTGATTAAATGCCTTGAGAAAGAAGTTAATTTTAAAATAGCCCACATCGTGAGAGATTTTTATTTTTTCCCCTCTCTGTCAGTTTGGTATCAGTCATGGGACTCCTATGATGACAATTTCATAATAGTACCATTCAGAAAGTCTTCAGAGAACAGGTATTTATACCTAAAGGGTCAGAAAGCAAGTGAGAACCATCAAGAGAACGTTCTCCATTCTACAAAACCAAGTGACAAAATCACCTGAGGGCAAATGGCATAGAATTAACAGGGTGACAGTCACACTTCCTTTGATTTCACCCCAGTGGTTGTCAGGTTGCTCTGTGCTTAAGAGAATTAAAGAGTTATAAAAGGACTTTTAAAATTTCTATAATATTCTTGCTTCAAAGTAATCATGACATTATAAAGTCACTTGAAGGTTTATCTAAGTATACAGATTTCACCTCAAAACTTAAAATTCCATATTTTAATTATATGATGTTAAATGCCAGGCTTTTTACCATCACTCCAGAAATAAACAAAAAAAATGAATGAGCCAAAACATGGTGGTGTAGGACGTCTCCGAATTTTGCCCAGTAGCTTGGCATCTTAAAAACTTACTGACTTTGGTGGATGGAAGGAGGCTGACCTTAATTTTAACTGAATTTTCAAGAGCATAGGCTGTTTGGAGAAAGGACTATTGGTATATGAAGGGGGGAACATGTAAAGAAGAAACAAACAACATGTCACAGTACATCCTGATGACTCTAGTTAAACATGACAACATATCATAAAAGAATGAGATTTCACCAAAAAGGGGTGATGGAGAGGAAGATGTCACAGTGCGACTTCAGCCATGAGTCAAGAGTCTCCCCGTGTCCTTTGGGAAAAGGTCTCACGAGCTACCTGCCGTTTCTTTGAGGGTGTGGTGATGATTTCACATCTTTCAAAGGTAAGAGACAAGTGATTTCATCTCTCCCTCTCCCCACTCGGGTTCTCAGATAAAAGCAATAAAAATGTAATGGAAGTAAAGCAACACGTTAGAGCTCTATAAATTATCTTACGTCACTTTTCTAGAACAGAGGGCGTACAAGGCTGTCCCGTGAACATCAGCCTGCTCAAAAATGTAGACAGCAGTACCTGGAACAGCCAGTGCTGAGATGTTAGAAACTGTGCAAGTTACTATTGAATTACTAGCAAAGTGGATAGAATTTCATAAGAGCGGTACTAAGGTTTATCTTCAGCTTCCGCTCTAAATTTTACCAAAACTATTTTAACTTCTAGGAACCTTGGTTTCTTTTCTATAAAATGAGGATGAAAATAATGCCTGGTCTGACTGGACCTCACAGCTATGCTCTAAAGATCAAATGAGATCTATAAATAAAATAATTTGCATATTCTAAAACTTTATGCAGATTTACAGGATTTCTTATATAAATATGCATATAATATTAATGCCTGCTCTCCTGACTTGAAGTAGTATTTCCCCCTCAAGTTCTCAATTAGGGAACTGAAAATATTAGCCTGTTTGGTCTCAGCAGGGTATAGCTGTGTGCTCACAGTGCAATAAAGAGCATCTGGGTACTTGGCATTGGCCCCAGAAACCCAGGAAGGTGTGTGGAGAGCAACTTATGGCATTTTATTGATACTGTTTATTTAGTTATGTCTCTTGTGCAAGAGCAAGGAGAATGTCTATCTTAGGAACTAGGTACACGGTCTGGCATAAGGTAAGCTGTTAATATGTAAGAATCAAAACTGAATGAAAGGATGGATGGATGGATGAGTAGTTGGATGGGTAGACGAATGATGGATGGACAGATATTCCCAGAGGCAATTACGTCTGCAGTCAAGGGGAAAAGTCAAAACCCAGTCCAAACCCGTGAACGTAGGGATATCTTACAAGCGAGTACAGGGCCGGCAGGCAGTAGCGTGGCCCGCCTGGTAGCCCACCTGTGGGGAGTCTGTTTCGGGGTAACACACTGAAGGCAGGGGGTGACAAGAGCAAGGCAGACAGAACATAGGTGAGCAGAAATCAAACTCAGAAATGGAACTAAGACCGACATCCCAGCTCCCAGAATGGACTTGGAATGCTTATCAGTTTACCCAAAAGAAAAGGAATTCCATAGGGGTCTGAGACAAAATCTCAGACTTAGGAATTAAAGCCCAGAGGGAAGTTGGGTTTGGGCCAAGCAAGAGCATCATTTTAAGAACAGGGGAAATGATGAGAGGCTGGACCAGAAGAGTCATTTTGGGAGCAGAGATGTGACAACCAGCATGTGTGTCTTGGCCAAACAGGAAGAGGAGACCTGAAGCCACCCAGCCAGGACTGACCTTGAAATTGGGGCAGAGCTGAGTTGACACGAGAACAGCATGAGTGAGCTACACTCAGCTAAATGTCGCCCAGGCAGTAGCTGCCATCTGCCTGTTATCATCTGTCCCTGCGTGTATCAAGTTCTTTTTCAAAATTTTGTATTGAAGTGTAGTTGATTTTCAGTGTTCGTTTCAGGTGTACAATAAAGTGATTATAGATACATACATACTTTTTCTTTTCAGATTCTTTTCCATTATATGTTATTACAGAAACGGAATGCAGTTCCCTGTGCTGTACAGTAGGTCCTTGTTTACCTGTGTTATATACAGTAATGCTTATCTGTTATTCCCAACCCCTAATCTATCCCTCCCCGCCCTTTCCCCTTTGGTAACTATAGTTTGTGTTCTGTGTTCGTGAATCTTTTTCTGGTTTGTAAACAGAATTTGTGTCATTGTTTAATATTCCACATATAAGTAGTATCATGATATTTGTCTTAATTCTGACGTGAGATTACAGGCTACGTGCAGACCAGTGGCTTGCGAAGGATAGAAACATTTTACAGAACTGTGTGTGGAAGTAGTTCCCGGGTTATAGAGTGTGCCTTCCCCTGGGCAGGGTGTTTTTCTAGAGAGAGTGACAAATGCCAGCGCTTTTTTAATCCCGAGATTGCAGCTTCTGCCTTGGCAACTAATTCTCAGATTTTCCCTAATTCTTGGCACTTACAGTCCTAACTGTCCCCACACTCTCTCCTGCTTTGGGGTAGGATTGCCCTAGCAGAGACCAAAAACGCATTAGGGCATAATTTCCAGTTTCTGTTGGTCCCTGCACACTCTAAGATTTATTTGTAAAGACAAGAAAAGAATAAAATTATCAAAATCTGTTTTAAATCTAACTTAGATTATTGGACTGTAGTAGGGGTGAGTGGGCCCTGCGTGACTGACAAGACTCAAGATAAATGCTACTTCTAACCAAAAAAAAGATTTGGCCAACTGCGTGCCTCCTGCTTTGTCATGCTGTGAAAAACTGCCTATAATTTAGAATCAATATGGCACAAGATAAGTATAAAGGGCAAAATCTGAATTTCATTACTTTAAAATGTCAAGAATGGGCTTTGATGACTTAGATTAGCGTTTCAGTTCTTCTTCTAAATCTGAGCAATTGTATTTCTTCAGAAATGAACATATTTCTTGAGAATGGCTGGTCAGAGTTTGTACATACTCTCTGGGATAACATAATATGCAGGTTTTCTAATATATTCACATGAACACAGGATCGTTGGGATGGACAGTCTGCTTCTAATTCAGATAGAAGGATTTGTTCCTCACCAAACCTCAGCAAGCTAATGGGAGAAGCTGTTTGACAGGTGATGAACAGACGCACCCGCCACAGAGCAACTCAGTTCTTGATTTGGATGCAGACACTAGGCAAGGCTTCCTCCTCAGGGTAGGAGTGTCTGTCTTGAGACATCTGATACAAATGGACAAAAGTGGTGACACTGCATCCACCCCTGGCTACCAACATCCAATACACATGGGCTTGGTTTCTAGTTTGTCAAGTTCTCTTACCTACAACCTCTGAAATCAGGTTTGGTAGCTGAGTTGTCTTCCTAAATGAGATCTGATCTGTTTCTTAGATCCATTTCTGCTGTTAACTCCTATGCATAATGCCTGATCACAATGCAAGCAAACATAATTTGGGGATGTCACTGAGAAGTCTCATTATAGTCACCTCAGTAATACTTATAAAATGTTTTTCCAAATAAAAAAGTGTAGATAATCTGCAGCTCCTTATTCCACTATTATCCATATGCAGATTAATATGCTAATTATGCATGTGTTATGATAAACTGTTTTATTTCTCTAAAAGATTGCTTGAGCATTTATTAAGACAGAGAGCTCCTAGAGGAGAATTTAGACATAGTTAACACTAATGACATAAATGTTCATTCTGCATTGTTTCAGAGGAGGGTGAAGGAAGAGGTGACTTCAGTTTTCCTCTGGAAATCAGACACTGGAAGAAGTTACTAGCGGAGGCTGGGAAATATGCTTGCCTGTAATGCTGTGGCAGAAATCCCTTGCTCCAAGATCAGTTACCTGCAGGCAAAGAGTAAAGGCCTTTAGACTCTCAGCCTGGTCTTTCAGTCTTACATTCAAAGTTTGTAGCACCCCTTGGAATTCTGGTTTCTGGGCTGCTCAGGTTAATGGGCAAAGGTGAAGGCCCTGTTGTCTTCCTCAGACTTGAACTTCAGGTCCATAAATCCAGATGTCTCCATCTGTACATTCCACAGCTACTTTGAACTCAGCCTCTTCAAGAAAGTACTTTCTGTCAACCCCACATCCGCCAAGGCTAGAGAGTCCCCATGCATTCTTGTGATTAGTATTTATGTAAGATTATTTAATTACAGTCTTTTTTTTTTCTTTTGAGAAACATTTACTGAGACACTTCAGGCACTGTCCTGAGTGCTCGCTGGAGATGCAAAGAGATAATGCCCCAATACACAGAGTTAAGCATTTCCTTTCCTTCGATCCAAGCCTGGTGCACAGACTGGTATTTCAACGCTTTACAATTATTGACTGAGTGACATGAGTTCTCATGAGACTGTGAGCCCCCGGGCACATTTTAAAACTTCACTTTTAAATGCCCTAAGAATTATTCAATCAACATTTATTGAATACTAAGATGATATGGGGGAAAAAAACAAATTTCCTAAGCTAGGACTAGTAGGCCTTTTAAATTATTTATCACCTTACTCACTGCAAATGATGCTGTTCACTTTGGATCTGTAATTAGATAAATATTATTACTGAGCCTCAGGCAGTAGATTATGTGCGATCTTGAGAAGCCCTACCGTAAGTCAGGAATTGTGCAAGTGACCATGAGAAGTAAGTTTGCACGTACACAAAAAACCTGTATGTGTTTTTTAATATAATTTAAAAATAATCAGCTTATAGGTCAGATCTATTCCAGTGGGTGTGTTTCTTGTGGAATCTTGTAGTTTCAGGGCTGTAACATAAATTTGGCTCCTGTGAGATAACTGTTATATAACTATCTGAAGTAGTGTCTGCATTACTATATATAAAATAGGTAAACAACAAGGACCTACTCAGAGCTCAGGGAATGATATTCAATTTCTTGTAATAACATCTAATGGAAAAGAATCTGAAAAGAAAATATACGTATATGTATAACTGAATCACTTTGCTGTACACCTGAAACTGACACTGTAAATCAACACATCAATAAATTTTTTTAATAAAGAAGGCAGTGTCTGGTTTATACATACTAAAAAGGGTTTAAAAGATCCCGAATGAATCTTAAAAGGTTAGCCTTTTTAAACAAACAATGCCGATAGATGGCATGATCAACCAAAGACATTGTTCGCCTTGTATTAATTAAATGGTGGGAAATGTAATCAGATTATGATTTTTAAAAAATGCTTTTAAAAATTGTCATATGTACTACAGTCTGATCACTATTTCCTGGAAACTCAAAATGTGGATGACTCTAAACATAGACAGCCAAGGATCAAGAGTTGTTCAAGCATACAAAGGAGTTAGCAGTTCCTTTTTTTCCCCTTTATTTTGGATACATATGAAACTAAGAGCTAGTTTTTCAAATGGAGGGGAGGTGATGGGAAGAGGGGGTCCCTAGAGTGTGACTGAGAGGCAAAGACCTGGTGGTGAGGAGGGACTAGGCACCTAAGCTGGGTCAGCGAGAGGAGAGTGGCTGGCCTTGAAGAGAACTGCCTGCTGGAACAGACCCATCCTTAGAACGGATGAACAAGGAATGTGGACTTGGGAAATCAGTTTGGATCAGTCATAATAACCTGGCTTCAGTTATTCATTTCTTCTGGATAAAGTTACCTCATCTCCAGTCATATCTGTTGCTGTCTGTTTCCTTTGTGGGGAAGGGAGGGGGCAATGTGCACTGTTTCCTGAGGCTTCCCAGTGCCGGGACTCACCCAGCCCCTGGTGCTCAGGCAGTTACCAGGATTCCGTCCTGGAGACGCTCCTCATTTTACCCGAGGTCGGGACAGGGGCTTTCCATTTCCAACAAGTGTGCTCGGTGGCGGTCAGCGCTGGCCCACCTGGGGCCGTGTCTGCTTGTTGAGTCGTGTGCTGCCTGATTGCTGTGTTCCAGCAGGGCTGTGCAGAGATGGTCTTCACAGCTTTCCTACTGTTGGAAGTTACTCCCTTTTATGTGAGGCCCCGAACAGTGTTCAGACAGAGCCCATTCACTCTGGGGTGGCCCAAAGATGCATGTGCCCCAAACCAGGCATTAGGTGAAGTGGCTGACTTCTGAGGGAAGGGAAACCAGACTTCAATCAGTTCTGTAAAAGAAGTGGCATTTGTCCTTTGTGCTTTGCCCTTGCCTCTTGTAAGAAATTTGCTGTCCTTTGATTTTAAATTTTTTGGAAGAATTCTGGTTTGCCAGAGGTGAACTCTCCATTTCTTCTCATTTCTTACTCATTCATCCCGTTTTCTGCCCTGTCACCATCAGTTGAATGTCCTGGTGGTTATTGGTAGTTTCTGCATTCGGCACACAGTATAGAAGAAATAGTCTGCATTACTCAGTTGACATTTTGTGCTAATTGATAATGCTTTTTAAATGTACAGCTGTGACATTTGGCAGTCTTCATTATTCACTGGTAAGGCAGTGCTCAAAACTAGTATTGATTTTCCCACATCCACACTCTGGTCTCATTTACTAACATTTGATATAAATTAGAATCTCACCACGAAGTTTCTGACTTGGCTTTTTCTCTCTCAGTAAGTTTCTCTTGAGATTTGGTAGTCCTGTTGCTCTTGAAAGATAGACGCACAAAGGAAAAACAAGTTGCTTCTGCAGATATTTAAAATCAGTGTATTGGTCCATAAAGGTTTTGTGTACTTGGCTGCTCTAACTTATTAAATCAGGCTGGACATCTTGAAGTAGAAAAGACAAAATGAGTCTGACTTTCCAAGACGATCTTCAGATATGAAAGGGAAAAAATAGAAGAAGTAGATTATATCTAAACTGATCATTCTTCTAAAATCTTCCACCTAGAAAATGTTCCACATAGAGATTTTACATGACTGAGCTAAATATAATATATGGTCTGTTGGAGGCTTTTA